TTTTGTTGAAAATTCATATCCTCTAAGACTGATTAACAAATTAATTTTTAATGTTCCATTTGTTAACAGAAACAACATTCTTACTAATTCTCAATCAGTGCCCTCAGCACAAAACAATGCTTCTCAAACAAGTGTGTATTATTATGCCCTTCCGTATATTCCAAAACTAACCGTAGAACTTACTAAAATTTTCAAAGAATTTAAGAACATCAAAATAGCTAACAAGAACATCAAAACCATACGTCAGCTATATAGCAAAATAAAACAACCCCTAACTACTTTAGAATCAAGAGATGTTGTTTATTGCATTCAATGTACTGAATGTCCATCCACGTACATTGGTGAAACTGGAAGAAATCTGTCTAGTCGTATCATTTCTCATAAGAGTGACTGTAGACTAAATAAACCCACTTGTGCTTTGGCAGAACACACTATCGATCTAGACCATAAGATAGATTTCAACAATGTTAAAATATTAGCCAGAGAGAAAAATAAATTTAAGAGAACATTCTTAGAAATGGTACATATCAGCAGGAGTGATAACAACAATCTGAATAAAAGATCTGAGATCCAGAATCTTAGCAAAATTTACAATTTTATTTTGACTTTTGACTAGGGTTTTCTGCATCTCAGAGTGCTTCATGTTTCGTAAATTCCATTATTAATTGCTATAATTATCATGATTAACTTCAGTTATTATTCAGATGTTCATTTTGTTTTGTTTGTTTGTTTTTTCTAAACCTATTTACTAAATACTATTTTCTTTTTATTTTTGACAATAATAAAACCTTTTTTTAAATTTCCCTCTCATTTCTAAGTTGGTAACATGGTTGGTAGTACCTAAAATCACAAACGGCATCTTGTTAGACATCAGTTTGAAAGTTTGTTTTTTGTAGTTACATCGAACTATTTAAACAACAATAGTTCCTCCTACTACCTCTTTCTGTTCGTGAGATGTGACTGAATTCAAACCTGCGAAGACGACTGTTTTTTGTCAAACATGTCGTCTTATTTTTTACTTTTTAAACTTTGTAACATGTTCTTTAATTTTTAAGTATTTTAAAGTTTTTAAAATTTTTAATGCCTTCAATAATTCAGATCACATCATGTTATTTAACGTTGTGTTTTATATGCTATGAATCTTACTTTCTGGTAAGTTTTTATAACTTTTATATTACATCAGCCTAATGTTATAACACAGTAATTTTCATTGTAGACCTTGATAAAGGTGGCAAATAACCACCGAAAGCTCGGAATTCAGAATAAATAGTACGCCTTAGCAAAGCTCTATTTTTTATTGACTACCACACCCAAAAAGAAAAAAGTATTTACATATATTTTTTCCAAACTAGTCAAAAAACTTTGGACTACCTTGTCTTTCTTTTAGTATGGGTTTTTATGAGGACATCAGACTCCAATACGGACCATTACTTGTGTCGTACCTAAAGGAATGGGCTAATGTGAACACCAAACTGGCAGCGTTAAGGAACAGAAAGACTTTTTTAATTAAGTGTCGAAATGCAGATTGTTTTCCGAACCATATCACGAACAGTTTGACAAATGTGAATAATTTACTACATCACAGGAGAGGAGAGATAGATTTTCGATCTCAAGGACTTAGTAAAAGGTTTGGAAAAAATATTCTTAATTTAGAAATCAAAATTACTTTTGCTGATATTAATCATTTTGAAAATAAGCTAAAAGATCTCCAAGCCAAATCAAAATCTATACTTAATTATCACACATATGTTGAGTTTAAACGTAGACAACAGATAATTTATAACAATCTTTTTCATAAAATTAAGAGAACTAATATCAATAAATTTAATAAGTTCAGATTAGATAGTTTTGACAGTATTGATTTCAGGGAGAGTTGGTTTAAAAACCTTACAGACTTAGAATTTCCTGTAGAAGTTAAAAAGTTGTTGGCCTTAGGCCCTAAATTCGCTTTGCTTCCTAACAAAAAAGATTTCAAAGTTTCCTCTTTGTTGGCAGACATCGAGAACATTTTAAGACCAATTGAGAATGTCGATAAGGACATTCTAAGGTCCAAATGCACTAATATAATCACTAACTTTCTCAACAAAGATGAAAAAGACCACTTTTTAAATAAATACTACATTAAATGCAAAACTTTTTTGAAACATCACCCTGAGATCAAGATTGTTCAGAGCGACAAAGGCAATGTCACTGTAGCAATGTACACTAGGGACTATATACAAAAATGTGAAGACTTATTAACAGACACTAAATATTATAAAAAGTTAAACAACAATCCTGTGTGTACTCTGCAACAAAAGGCTAATAAACTAGTTTCTGATTTGGTAAAGGAGAATCAAATAGATCAATCAGTTGGAAAAACTTTGAAAATTTATAATTCAATTGCTCCTAGATTTTATGCACTTCCAAAAATTCATAAACCTACTTTGTCTATGAGACCAATAGTTTCCTCAATAGGTACACCTAATGGCCCCATAGCAAGTTTTTTAACCAATATTCTCACAGAAACCTACAGTAACAATGATTTCTGCATTCAGGACTCTTTCAGTTTCAGTTCTTTTAATAATAACTTAAAATTACCTATCAATTATAAGCTCGTTAGTTTTGATGTAGTGTCTTTGTTTACTAATTTACCTTTACAAACAATTTTGGTTAGTGTTGAGAAACACTGGGATGACATATCAATGCACACAACTCTTAACTTATCTAATATCAAAAAACTCATTTCTTTTGTTTTTGACTCAAATGTTTTTATTTTTAATGACTGTTACTACAAACAAGTCTTTGGTACTCCAATGGGGTCCACCATTTCACCAATTCTTTGTAATTATGTCTTAGACGATTTGATTAAAGATTGTTTGCAACAAATCAATTTTGAAATACCTTTTATTAAAAGATACGTGGATGACTTAATCTTGGCACTACCAGCAGACTCCATACAATTTACTTTAAATGTTTTCAACCAACAAAACCCACACTTGCAATTCACGTGCGAGGAAGAGCGGGAGGGATCTTTGCCCTTCCTTGACATGCGTTTGCACAGATGTGAGGATAATGTTGTGAAAACACAATGGTATAGAAAACCTATATGTAGCAATAGATTCATAAGCTACCATTCCCATCATCCTCCTAGAATGAAAACCAACCTAGTCCTAGCAATGAAAGAACGTGTCAAAAGGTTATCACATCCAGATCATCTCCAACATGATCTTAACCTCTTACGGAATATTTTTGTTGAAAATTCATATCCTCTAAGACTGATTAACAAATTAATTTTTAATGTTCCATTTGTTAACAGAAACAACATTCTTACTAATTCTCAATCAGTGCCCTCAGCACAAAACAATGCTTCTCAAACAAGTGTGTATTATTATGCCCTTCCGTATATTCCAAAACTAACCGTAGAACTTACTAAAATTTTCAAAGAATTTAAGAACATCAAAATAGCTAACAAGAACATCAAAACCATACGTCAGCTATATAGCAAAATAAAACAACCCCTAACTACTTTAGAATCAAGAGATGTTGTTTATTGCATTCAATGTACTGAATGTCCATCCACGTACATTGGTGAAACTGGAAGAAATCTGTCTAGTCGTATCATTTCTCATAAGAGTGACTGTAGACTAAATAAACCCACTTGTGCTTTGGCAGAACACACTATCGATCTAGACCATAAGATAGATTTCAACAATGTTAAAATATTAGCCAGAGAGAAAAATAAATTTAAGAGAACATTCTTAGAAATGGTACATATCAGCAGGAGTGATAACAACAATCTGAATAAAAGATCTGAGATCCAGAATCTTAGCAAAATTTACAATTTTATTTTGACTTTTGACTAGGGTTTTCTGCATCTCAGAGTGCTTCATGTTTCGTAAATTCCATTATTAATTGCTATAATTATCATGATTAACTTCAGTTATTATTCAGATGTTCATTTTGTTTTGTTTGTTTGTTTTTTCTAAACCTATTTACTAAATACTATTTTCTTTTTATTTTTGACAATAATAAAACCTTTTTTTAAATTTCCCTCTCATTTCTAAGTTGGTAACATGGTTGGTAGTACCTAAAATCACAAACGGCATCTTGTTAGACATCAGTTTGAAAGTTTGTTTTTTGTAGTTACATCGAACTATTTAAACAACAATAGTTCCTCCTACTACCTCTTTCTGTTCGTGAGATGTGACTGAATTCAAACCTGCGAAGACGACTGTTTTTTGTCAAACATGTCGTCTTATTTTTTACTTTTTAAACTTTGTAACATGTTCTTTAATTTTTAAGTATTTTAAAGTTTTTAAAATTTTTAATGCCGTCAATAATTCAGATCACATCATGTTATTTAACGTTGTGTTTTATATGCTATGAATCTTACTTTCTGGTAAGTTTTTATAACTTTTATATTACATCAGCCTAATGTTATAACACAGTAATTTTCATTGTAGACCTTGATAAAGGTGGCAAATAACCACCGAAAGCTCGGAATTCAGAATAAATAGTACGCCTTAGCAAAGCTCTATTTTTTATTGACTACCACACCCAAAAAGAAAAAAGTATTTACATATATTTTTTCCAAACTAGTCAAAAAACTTTGGACTACCTTGTATATATATATATATATATATATATATATATATATATATATATATATATATAATTATATATATATATATATATATATATATATATATATATATATAATTGCAAGTTCAAAAAATAGCGAATAAAACGATACGACAACATAGAAAAATGGACTACTAATAAAAAGTTTGATCCTTGGTTACAATGAAGACTGGGGCTCTGAAAATGACGATGACGAGACCAATCCATAAGAAGAGAAGGCAGTAAAAAAAGTTCAAATATCATTTACGATTAGCGAAGTTTTATAGAATAGCACTTTGGAATTAAAATAATTTATTAGATGATAGAGATAACGACTTGAGTTTAGAGTCTGGTGGTAGTATTATATATTATTTATCTAAAAGTATTTGAGTATTTACCTTAAATAGAAACAGCATATTAGCATTATGACAGTCACCATGAATAATTACTGTTTCATCAGAAGTAGTATCGGCAGCTTCAACAAAACGCTTAAAAATACCCTTTTCGGCGTTAAACCTTTCAAATTTAACTGATAAGTCTTCCCTTCCAGCTTCTTTTAATGTGTTGACTATATTAATTGATTTACGATCAAAGACTGGTTGAGTATTACTAAATGCCGCGCTTATCAAAGGACACAAGTCTTTAGAAATCATTTTAAATTCTTCTGGATTTTGATCTCTCATTGCAAAGCTCAAAGCGTGTAATTTGGCATAAGCTTTTAGACACAATTTGACTTCAGCTATATTCATTGGTTTTTCTCTTTGGTGCAGCACATAACCTTTCCTTTTAAGATTTTCTAACACAACAACATTATTTTCTTCCTCCAAAAATGCCTTGTAACACTTTGGAACTATATAGAAATCATCTTGCAGCGTTTTAATTTTATGGAACCTTTGATATGCGGGAATAATGACACCATAAAAGTAAACTTCCCTTCGGCAAAGTTCGGGCATTTCTGGAATTTGTTTTTGTACTGCTGGATTCTTGTTATTACGTTTTAAAGCTATAAATAAAGTCTTACTGTCTGCAACTGTACCTTCACTACACTGAAGTTCAACTTTGGCAAAAATAAATTCTCCAACGTAACCTTCTCCTTTCTGGGTCGTGTTTTCTATGGTGATAATACAATTTTTGGTACCTACGGATTGTTGAATCCAGGATTTCACTTCCTCTGTTAGAATATATGACATTTTGAACTATACAGAAACAATATCTATCAGAAAATGATGATGCAGATAACTATACCGTGTACTGGTATATTGAATATAGTATAAGTATTATATAGTCTTGCATTTATCTATTTATAAATAGATAAATTTTATCTATTATAATACTAGTCATATCTACAAAAAATTTCGTAATAGTTTCTTAATTTATGCAAAACCTTTTAATATTTTTGACACAAATCTACTATTACAAACTGTTTTATAGGTACATACCTTTGGACAAACAAGCAAACAACTAAATAAGTAGTAAACAAAGGTGGTACATAAGTATAATATGCGAAATTATTAGCTTCTTGTGTATAATTAAATAAACGTGAATGGTGCGTAAGAGTAAACTCTGCGAGGATTCTATTATTATTTTAATTATAATACAAGGTAAATAATGGAGAAATTAAGGTTATATTTATTAAAGATATTCACAAACAATACTAAACGCTAGAACTTTTATGTAACTTTTTATTTTTAAAATTCTTGATTGTAGTTGGACGGCGTTATGCATAACTCGACCAAGCGCCAAAACATAGTTTTGAGATAAATGGGTTCAAGTTTTTCGTTTGTTAAAAATACATTTATCAATATATTTGCACAAAATTTTAGCAGAAGAATGACCACGTACAACTATTTTTGGCTGCAAAGTTTCAATATAATCGCACCTACCATATTCTAGAAACAAAATAAAATGGCGCTTGGTCTACTTATGCTTTAAATATATTTCAGGAAGTTTAGTCGTTATACATTACTAGACCAACTACCATTTATGTCATTTGGTCTATTAATGCAAAACATAATACTGCGATAGGGCTATTATTGTAATCACTAAAATAAAACTATAGATAAATTCACATTCAGATGGCAGCGTTACAGAGATAGGCCTGTACTTTCTATATGCCAGAAATAACTACATTGTTGTCAGTTTTTAATCGTACCTACAATCATACGTTATGGGCCGGCTCCTATAAAAGAATTATAATTTCGGAAATATTTATGAATGTGAAACGGAAAAATACTACATTTTTTTAATTATATAATTTTTCTGTTGGTATTTTAAAAATAGAAAGTTATATTTCGGAAATCTGGTCTTTTCGGAATTATACCTTCTGTTCAAAATTGTTTACAATTCGTGGAAATGAAATAATTATTTATAAAATCCGTTTTTGATCTTAATGTCCTTTTAATGACACACTTTCTTTACCTGCATTTACAGTTACAGACATTAAAAAATAATTTAGAATTAAAAAAATATACCTATTTATAAATTCAAAATTATTGTCTAATGCCAGCAATTATAAATTCAGGTAAATACTTGAGAGTCATTAAAAGAATTTTCAGTTGATATCAGACGTTTGTGTCGTGTCAGTGTCAAAATGGCCGCGAGTGTAATAAAATTCAAAAACGGTAATTTGTTAAATAGTGAATGCAAAAAAAATAGTGTTAAATGTTTTTAACTATTTATCAAACAGTAATAATGATAAAAGTGTATTACCAATAGTGCGGGAAGTTTCTGCTATGAGTGGAGTCTCTGAGCGAACGATATTCCGATATAGAAGTGAAAGTAAAAATGGTCCACTCGTAACTCCTATAAGAAAAAAAAAGAACCGGTTATTTGAATAGTCGTGAGAATAGATATGATGAAGCAACTCGGTCTAGCATAAGACAAGTAGTGCACGGTTTTTTTATGGACAATATTCCTCCAACCCTTGACGTAGTACTAGAAAAAATTAAGCAAATGGAGCATCTTCCGAATTTTTCCAAGAGTACGTTGAGAAGACTATTGCACGACATGGGTTTTATATATGGCAAACAAGGTAGAAATTCAATATTAATAGAAAAACAAGAAATAGTCGCTTGGAGGCGTCACTATCTCCGGGAAATAAAGAAACTGAGAAACGAAGGAGCCAATATCATTTATATGGACGAATCATGGGTTAATACTGGAATAACCAATGGGCAAGTATGGCAAGATACAACAATAAAAAATAGCCGACAGGCTTTCGTAAATGGACTTACCACAGGTTTAAAAACTCCGACCGGAAAAGGACCAAGATTTGTTTTAGTCCATGCAGGAAACAAAGACGGATTTGTTGAAGGTGCTGACATCACTTTTCTTGCCAAAAAGGTGCTGAAGATTACCATGAAGAGATGGACGGAGATCTATTTGAAAAATGGTTTAAAGAGATGTTAATACCGAATCTCCCAAAAAATAAAAAGAATGTCATTATCTTGGACAATGCATCTTATCACTCTAGGAAATTAAATTTTCCCAAACAATATTGGGTGAAACGTCAAATTAAGGAGTGGCTCTATGAAAAGGACATTTATTTTGAAGAAGATTACTTAAAAAATGAACTTCTGGAAACTGCTAGTGTATTTAAAAATATTTATGACAAATACAAAATTGATTGTATTGGTGAAAAATACAGGAATCACAGTGACGAACAATGCCGCGTAGATGTACATATCTTAAGACTTCCGCCTTATCACTGTGAACTGAACCCAATAGAAATGGTGTGGTGTGAAGTGAAATGGCACATGTCCTCTAAGAATTCAAGTTTCAAACAAAACGACGTTAAAACATTGATTTATGAAGGTTATGATAAAGTACAGAACAATGGACATTGGAAAAATTACGTCAACCATGTTATAAAATTGGAGAATAATTTTTGGACAGTAGACAACATTCAAGATGACATTGAACCTATTAGAATTTCATTAAACGATGACTCTGAAGATGAACTAGATTATGAAAATAAAGATGATTGAAAATTGTTTTTCGGGGGTATTCTTTTCTCAGTAAAGGTAATAAAATATTTAGTTGATCTGGTTTAAATGTAGCACACTTAAATAACTCATTAATCGACATAATTTCAAGTAGTTATATTAGACGTCACTATGCAAAAAATAAAGTTATGAACATTTAATAAATTAGTGCACAATTGAGGCCCCTAGAACACAAGGGGTGTAAGTGCCAAAAACAAAGTTTTGAAAAATCTTTGTTCAAAGTTCGATATAAATTTAAAAACCTAGGTAGCACTTTTTCAGTTTTTAGCATGTTTTCAATGACATGTAATTTTCGATGGTGTTATTGTTGTTAATGTAGAAAGTTTGAAGCCAAAAGTACGTGCCTGTTGTTAGATATCAGTTGCTAAGTGATAAGCAACTGCACTTACACCCTTGTGTTCTAGGGGCCTCAATTAGGGGTTTTTTGCAATTATCTTAGTCATTTGTTTATGTATTTTAATTTACAAACTAAAAAAATTAAAAAACTTTTTAAGATCTGCAACATTTATTTGAAACATTTTTCCCTAAAATGCACGAGGAACAAAATAGGCAAAAAAATGATTTTTTCCAAACTTCATCTTTCTTTAAAAAATAAACAAAGCAAAATTGGCTGTAATTCTTCAAGGAATTATCATCAGTTATCCCTTATCTACCGTTTAGAACATTAAAAAACTTGTAGAATATTTTTCATATTTTTTTCCCTATTAACTGCGGTATTATGTATAAAAGCATTAAACAAGAACTTTCCAAATTTAATTCAAGGATAGTAAGTAAAAAAAAAGAAAACACGCTGGTATGTTTAGGAAACTAAACCGGAGTGATGGATATATTTAGAAGAAAAATTTATAACATGTATGAAGAACAGATGGTTTTCACATTAAAAATCATCATGTAAAAGTTACAGAAAGATGACACATGAATAATTAAGTGCTGTAGTGAGACAGTAAGGCAATGTCTTCTAAAAAAAGGCTTTAAAATAAAAACGATCGATAAAGGCTAAGTGATTATGGATCTGCTCGTCTGCAAATATGGAGGACGGAATTTTTAATTCAAATTCATAAATACAGAGAAAGTGGAAGAGAAATTGTTTATCTGGATGAGACGTGGTTTGACACCCATGACGTTTCAAAATTTGGTTGGGCAGATTCTTTTGGATGCTGTACAACAAAATCTTCATCAAATAAAGGAAAACGTATTACAAAAATCCATGCAGAAACGAAAAATGGTTTTATTCTAATGCTTTAGCCTTGTCATGCAAAAACATTAAGGAATCCCGTGACGACTATCATGATGACACTACCTTAGAATTATTTGAAAACTGGTTTTCAACGAAGGTATTGCCAAATATATTACTAAACAGTGTAATTGTGATGGACCATGCTAGCTACCAGAGAAGTAGGTTGAACTATTGACAGCAAACATAGAATCCAGAAATATATGCTGGAAAATGATTATTTTAACAAACATTATGACACAATTATTTTAAAAAACAATTACTTGAAAGTTTAAAACCATTTTCCATCAAAAATCAATATTATTGCGACAGTTTGGCGGAAGAAATGGGCCATACAGTATTGACTTTCTCGTTACTATTACATATTCAATCCGATTAAACCATATATAAATAATATAAGATTAGAAATATATAGGCAACTCAATGTATAAATTTCGTTCATTTGGACCCCTTGCGGCTGGGGTCATTACTAATCATTGTTTGGCCATTTGGAAATTCAAATGGACACCCCTTACATACATATTCTTTAGCGCCTCTTGCGGGCTACTTCGTTACTAATTAAAATGTACTCTTACTGAAAAATATCTTACTATTTTCCGATGAAATATTATCACATATATTATTAAAAAATAAAAGGATATATAAAAAATTTATTTGTTGTTTAAGATAAAACAGTTAGAAATTAATTCCGTAATATTTATTACACATATTTTCAGAAATAAGTATTAAATACTATTATTGTTTGATAACAACTTACTTTTTGACAACTTACTATTATCATCCTTCTTGTAATTTTTCCATGATTTGTACACAACGGAATAATACAATAATTCACCATATTTAGTTTTTTTTATTAGCACAACACAACAATTCTTTGCTACAATTAGTAACTCAAACTAAACTTTAAAAATTAAGTAACCACCTTAAATTAAAATTACTAAGAATAAATGCAAACTAAAGTTAAAGATAATAAAATAAAATTGAAAACTTATAAACAAACGAAAGACTTGTCATTACTTTTGACAGAATTGACATTGCGGAATTAAGCTTCGTTTGATTATTTTATTCACACCCCGAGTTAAAATAAATGATTGGTTGAAGTCTTCGTGAGAGAAAATG